CAGTGTATGGCAAGGAGAGCAAGTTTGACCATGGTGGGGAACTCAGATATTCATGTCTGCATACCTGTGGCAAACCTGATGGAGTCTTTTTCAGAAATTGCAAGGTGTGGTTGTGGTTTGGATGTTATGTCATCCCTTACTCAGAAACTTGATGAACTTGTGTTCATCTGCTTGGAGATGGCAGTGTGAGGGTTCGTACTCATCCTGTATTACCAAGACTGCTGGATTATAGTTCTTGGCATGTTCAGACCAGCAGTGTAGTGAGGAGTTCTTTATCCATTCTCTTGGCCAGGAGATTTAACTTAAAAACCAGAAGAAACAAGAAAACCCCACTCCTTCTCCTTCAGTATGCTAGAAGTAGTCTTTGTATTTGAACTTGGAAATTAATCAGCTCTCATGCTTCAGCTACCTGGTGCCTGTGATACACCTGCAGGCAAGCTGCTGTTGGTGAGGACTCCCTTGATGTGTGTGTCCTTCAGTTGTGCTGACTGTATCAGTGTAGTCACTTCTCTTCCAAAAGAAGAGATTGAGAAGGAAAAAGTCAGTTTTATTCATTGATTTCTAGTTTCTGGTCTTTCAAAACTTCAAGACTTGTCTTCAAGTGTTATTTGTAAATAAAGCTCTGTTAGTTTCAAACTATTGTTTTGAAAGTTAGGGGTGGATATGGAGGAGGCTACAGGTAATCTTGTATATCAGTGTTTTTGTAACTTGGTCATGGATGTGTGTATTAAAATAAACATTTTTTCCATCTTTCTCCTTTTGATGCAAAGTGGAGAAAACAGAGATAAGTATGCAGCTATATTTATTATATTGCTGTATTTATTTACTCATTTTAAATTTGCTTTCTAGATTTATTGCTTCCATCGTTCAGCTGCTTTCAGTGAAGGTGTGTTACCAGACTTTGCTCCACTACCTCCGCAAGACTCTTGCTGTTGAGTCTTAGCTCAACAGCCAATCTGTGGTACTCGTTCAGCTGTCATATTCCATTTTACTCTTGAATCCAAAGATAATGAAGACTGTGTGTTGCTAGCCTGGACCACGGGTAGTATCCTGTTAACTCCAGTTATTTTCTGACTCACTATCAGTGAGAGTGCTTTCCATAAGAAGCTGTGTTGGCTTCTGGTTCTCCTGAGTCACAGCAGAAGTTTGCTGGGTCTCTCATTTCTGTTAGATCAATACAATTACGCTAGATTTTGTTTACATCTTTGTACTTCCTGACACTACATAACCTCATTTTTTGATTCTTCTGTGCTTGCCTTTTCTTTGTGGCTCTGGTATGCTTTCAGGCAGTTTCTGACATGATTACAATTTTATTAATTCATATTCTCTGCCTTCTCTCAGCATGTGAGTGCGTTTGCTTTGGTGCCAGTGTTTCATTAGGAGCTTTGAGTTCAGTGCTTTGGCTCCTGCTTCTGCAGTTGCATTATTAATTTCTTAATTTTTAAGTTTGATGCTTGTATCATACATTTCTCTCTCTAGTCCCAGAACATTTTCATGATGTGTACTGTTAAGTAATAAGTTTCTGGGTTGAAACTGAAGTACTATTTTTAATCATTGAAAGTGTAAATGGTTTAATACCTAGTTACTTGAGGGAGCAAGTTGGGTGCAGTGGAGTCATTAGACCTCTTTTGCTATAAATGGGAATGGATAGACTGCTCTCTGTAAAGGCTTCTCAGATGGAAATTAATTTCTTTTCTTGTTCTAGCATATCCCAATTTGGTTAATCTCTTGAGTGTAATGAAAGCTCCATCTCCATATTTTACTGTAGGTAGGTGGAAGTTCTGGATGGCAGTCTAGGTGTGATTTGATTCCCTAGAGCTTGAATTTTTAAGATTGTCTGTTAACTGGAAAGTGAAGCTTGGATTCTTATTAATATATTAAAAATGTCAATGATTTCTCATTGTAGTATCTTTGTCACTACTTCATGGTAAAACATTGTGTATGTTAGTGCATCTTCTATAGCAGGTGTAGTAATTTACGTAAGTATTTGGGCTTGATCATCTTAAAATTTAGACTTGCTTTATACTTGCTAAGTTACTGTATTGAGTTAATACGCAGACAAATGAAGCTTAACTGAAAATAATATCCTAAACAAAGAATAACCAGAAATTACTGCCATTGTTAAGGAAACGACTTCATTGCTAGCGTTGAGGCAACTGCACTGGTGTGATCACGTTGATGGTTAACCTGCCCTTCCAGTTTTTGAAGCTGTTTGATCAGTATCTGTTCATTTGTCAGTATTAGGAGATCTCAAAGCTTTATGAATTCTGTGAATATTAGTAACTCAGTCACAGAAGGAGACCTGAAGTAGCAGATTTTGTCTCCAGGTTAATCACTAATATTTTGTTTTACCTGCCAGTGACCACGTAGCTCAGAAATAACTACCTTGCTATATTGCCTTTGACCAATAAATAGGCAGGAGAAATGAGGAATACTAGCTAATTTTGAGATCTGGGACCAGAGGCAGGGAACTGGAGGAAATGCAGAGAAAGGAGATCATAGGAGACCTGGGAGGAGTTAGGATTTTTGCATGGGAAGTACAGGAACCTGTGCATTACAAATATCACTGCTCACAAAATAGCTTTAATGTTAGTCCTCATAAAGCTTCGCTACAGGCTTCTTCCTCTTTTTTAGCTTCATGTTCTCTGTCTCGCCTAGCCGGTTTCAAACTGGTTCTGTGGCTTACCTTGAAACTGCTCCTGTCTTGCACAGGGTAGCTCTTGTAGTTTCAGAAAGTAGTTACTAAAATTGACTTAGTAATTACATATTTCTGTAAGGCCCCAAATAAACTCGTGGCTGATTCAAGCAAAAAGTACATGCACAAATGCTTGCAGTGTTCAGAAGTGAATGTGTACACTGCTAAAATTTAGTGAAAAGTTGTTATTTTGTAGTTGCAGAGCGTTATGGAAAAGAGCAGGGTGGCTGCACACGTGTTTCAGTGCTGTGCAAGGTGCAGGTGTTCTGTATTTTGGAAAGGTGGTAGTTCCCTCTGCTGCCACTTTGACCAGGTCTTAGATTTACATCCCAAATTCTGCTTCATCTAATTTAAAGTTTTAATTATGATCTTCTAGTACAGATATTATTTTGAGGTACATTGATGCACTTCCTGAAGAAGTGAAGTAAAGAGAGAGAAAAAAGTGTGGGGTTTGAGGTTTTTTGTTTGGTTGTTTGTTTTTTATTTTCCCACTAGAGTTAAATGGGTCCTGAGATTCAGTCTTACTATAGATCTCTTTCTTTCACTGGGTTTACCTTGTAAGGCTAACAATTATAAAAGTTAAAACTACTTTTAAAATGAGATGTAAACCATGGGCTGGTTAGCATTTAATACTAGTTTTTACTATTTAGTATTTTTAGTATTATCAAAAGTATTTCTAGTATAAATGAAAATCATGTATAACATTCAGTAAATAAATACTATATAATAGCAGACCATATTTATTAATTTATTAGTATTATTAGAAGTATTTAATATTAGTTGATACTTGTTAAAATATATAATAAAATACATATTTATAATATAATATTTTTATGTATTAGTATATATTATATATAAAAATAAATGTTATGGCATGATATAGTCAGCCCATTTCACTCACAGCTTTCTGTTCCTGCAGAAAATGGTCCAATCCCCACTTTGTGTTTTGTTTTGTTTTGTTTTTTTTTTTTCTTGCATTATCTTTTGTACTTGTCTGATCCCTCATTGAAATGATTCAGCTCACTAACCAGGTAGGAAGCTAATCTCACAAAAGGAAAGTGAACTTTTGAAGCTTTAGGGAGCTGATTTGGTTTATGGGTGGGTCAGAGGACCATCAGAAGAAGATGAAAGGAGTTTGGAGCGGTGCTGTGTAGCCAGGCAAGGGAGTGCATGGGCCAGCTGCTGGGTTTGGTGGTGCTGAGCTGTCCTGTTGAACTGGACCCGTCCAGCTGGATTTTAGTCCTTGCCACTTTCTAAACACTGTGCTATGATAGTCTGCCTTTTCTTTTCTTTGTTTTAAATTTTCTTGAGTATGTGAGACATCATGATGTCGAATTATCTGGAGTGCAAATTAGGTTGTTGTTGTTAATAAGACTGATGAACAAATGGGACTTCCGTGATCATCTCCTTGCATATAAGTAAAATTATCTTTCATTCTTAGTTTAAGTGCTTGCTGACAATTCATGGGCCTTAATATTTGGAAATTGGTTGCTTTGTTGTTGCAAGAGCTGATATTTAGTTTTTTAATCAATCTGTAGTTTATAGATTATTTTTTTTGTGCAGTTCACCTTAACAGAAGCAGATCCTCCAGAGTTTGCTGTCTGTCCACTTATTTACAGCTCTGCAGTAATCTCTTGCTGCTGTTCTTTGAGTTTCTGTTTACATAACCTCTGAAAAAGCACCACAGAAAAAAAAAATCCCCTCCAGTAGTGTTTAGTTGTTTCTCGAAGGTGTTAAGGCTGATGTTGTGAGTGTGTATAATGCTGTTAATGAACACGTTAAACAACAAGTGCTGTAAAAGTATAAAGTCCACTTTCAGTTACTCCTAGCTGTGTGTTTGATGGTCTAAAGAAGAGAACATGTTGCAACTCTTACAAGAAGGAAGAGCATAATGTGACTATCTAAACATTTTAAAGACAATATCAGTATAATAAATTCATGCTGTATTTCTAAGCATCTTCATTTTCCTCAGTCCGTTTTTCTCTTTATTTGTACTATTAGGTCTTTCACAAGTAGGGTGAGTGTGGCAGTGTCATGTCTTGATATACAAAATACAGTGGGTTAGAGAACCAGAATGCTTTTTCATAAATAAATGTAAAATGTTACACAAAAGTTCAGTATTGAAAATGAAATATTTTCATATTTTCTGGTAATATTTTCAAAATAATAGTTTGTATTATTTCACATAAGGCATTTACCAGGAGTTTGATAGACTTCCCTTTTACTAAGCTTGTTTCCTCTTTTTCAGTAACGATATATACAAATGAGCCAATTAAGTATGGTCTGATGCTTTTTTTCTTTTCAGAAAGATGAAGGTAGTGATGCTAGTTTGAGTGATAGCCACGTATCTCCTCCTGCCAAACGTACCTCAAAACATGCTGATCCTGTGTGCAAAGACAAATCAAAATCACGCAGTACTGGGCAGCGAGAGGAATGGAGCATCTCAACTGGACAGTCCAGGTAACTTGGTATCAAGAGAAAAATGAAGTCTTGCCAATTTTTCCTGTATTGTTAACTCACTGATGTTATTTGTGCAGTGAGCTGCAGCTCACGCTCAAGAGTGTATTTTTGAAGGGTGTTATTTTAGTACAATTTTTCTTTTAGTTTAAGACTCCAGACATGTGAGTTACATCACTCCCCTCATCTCTGTGCAAATTTGTGCAAAAACAGAAAGTAGTTTTATTTGAGATGCAGTCTGAATTCTAGATTCTTGATACATCCAAATTTAGTGACTTAATTGGTATTTTTATGTACTCAAGCAATAAGAAGACATGACATTTTAATTAGGAAGTTAGTATTATCATCCTTAGGGAATGGTTAATGGTCAAGTTTCTTTCTTTCCGTTGTTTTTTTTCAGCCTCTCTTCCCTGATTGGTTTTAAGGAATCGAGTAAATTACTGTATTTTATTAAGTATAGCCTCAATCCTGCCACATTTTTATAATTCGAAAGAAAAGTAATTTGTTTCATTTTATAACTCTCGATTAATAATATTTTACAAACCATTCTTGTGTTCATAAGGTTCTTCACATGATTGCAGGTAATTATGAGGCAGTGTAGACAGTGTATTCCTGGGACATGAACTTTCAGTTTATACTGATTATTTTGTAGATACATATTTTATAGTTATGTACAAATAACAATGGTTCTTGCCACGCTTTGTACATACGTGTGACTGTATTTCACTGCTGAACTGTCATCTGCTTGGATTAAGTATATTTAAAAACGATGTAAATCTTAAAATAGATCTCTTGGGTTTTTTTTTCCCTTTTAAAATAGAATAAATTAAATAGAGTGTTTTATGGGCCATGGTCATCTGGGAATGTATTGAAACTCATGCACCTTCTAAGTTTAGGCTTCTACTGGACCTATTAGAAATGCTAACAGATAAAAAAAATTACTGCATCTGGGATAATTAGATCACTGTGTCAAATGGAATTTGGCTGCGATACTGAAACTTGTGAAGAACCCACTGTGACATGTCTTTGCATCTGAGATTTTTTTGTTGTCGTTTTCTGCCAAAATCCAAAGCAGTGGGCCTAATATTTTTGCAAAAGCTCTGTTGCTAAAACTTTATTATAATCAAAATTCACTTCAGTTGTGGTTTCTAAAATACTTACAATATCTGACCAGAAAATTGTTACTGGAAAATTGGATGTGGACATGATTTTTCTAAACGTGGTTTTCTGTGTTGCTATCCAACCCTTGCAAAAATCCTTAGATTACCTTTGTTTTATAAGGATTTGTTATACATTTCTTAGGAAAACAGTAGCAAAGCCCACATCTGCTGTGCCTTTGAGTTGAACTCTTTGTAGTCTGCTGGTCATGTTCAAGCTCAGATTGCATTTGGTATTAGTAAAACTTTCCCTCCTTTTTCTCTTTCCCATCAAATGAATTTTAGTTTTTTAGTTTGAGAGCAAGTAGTTCTTCCCTGTCCAGTACTGGTGTGCAGGATCTACAGTTCACTTGTCTGTACAGTGCTTAGTGTTTCTGAGGATGGAAGAGAGATTAAAAAATGCATTTTTTTTTTCCTTTTGCCCAATTTAATTAGCTTTTTTGCATAGTGCTGTTGACAAATTACTTTTAACAGTCTGCCATTTATGGTAGACTTTTTGTTCATCGGTACTCTAAATTTTAGTAAGTTCATGTCTAATAAATAAGAATATTTTCATTTTTTTTAAGTATAAAAAGTGAATGAACAATTGCTCGCACAGTAAAATTGCAGCAAACTCTGGAATATATTTTTGACTCTGAAGTAATAGGGGTTAATTTTCCTAGAAGTTAATTTTAAAATAAATTTAAAATATCAGATTGACAGAGAACATGACAATACTTTTTACTGATTTTAAGTGCACCCAGCATAAATTAATCCCATTCACTTGAGTTGGTAATTTTGTTAAATTTATTCTTTTTCTGTGAGTACTGAACAGCTTTTTGTCCTTCTAGTTTATCCAAAGTGTTTGAATGATAATTGCCTTTGAAGAGCTATATCAAGCTCCTGTTCTGAAACAGGGAGAGTTAATAGTAGGACATGGCATGAGGGAACATTGGAGGGATTAATAAAATCAATGTTTAGATAATTGGGGGGATTCCTGTAATTGGTATTTGGCAGTTCTGTCCTCATTCCAGTGTTGGGCCTGGAGCAGACTCTTCAGAGGCCACATGTCACAAAGGTTTTGAGGTTAGCGCAGCGTGTAGCATTCGATGTTTAAAGTTCTGTTTTCACTGTGTAGCTTTTGCTTGGCTAAGGAGTGTTGATTTGTCTGTCTGATGTAATTGTTTCCTAGGTTAACTTCTCAGCCTGGTGCTACACTACCAAATGGACGTAGCTTATGTAAGTGTATCACAGTGGACCCTTTTGTATCTCTTTTTACATTTAACAATTTTGTGTTAGTGACTTTCAGTTGCATATATTTTTAATAACTTTACTGATTACTCTGACCATTTTGACCAGAAAAGTTACTGTTTTGGCTCCGTTTTCTTCTGTCAACATCTGGGATGTTCTCTGTGGACATGAGGGACATTCTTAGATGAAAGTCCATTTCTCTTCTCAATTCAGACCTCTTGGCCATGATCTTGATGTTTTCCTTAATTCCCAAATTTACTGTTATGAACTAATTTTGGCCTTCCTCTCCCAGCTGGTCTCTTTAATTTACTTACTCTCTTTGCTCATTGAAGATTTGGCCTTTTGTGGTTCTTAACATGACATAACTCTGCTATTGCTTTAGAGAGACCTGCCTTGTCTGCAGCTCCTGCTACCTTAAACAATTTTCCTATATGCTTGTACCTTACAAACTTGCCATCTCATTGCATATCTCAGCTAAAACCACTTTGTCTTTCATGTCCCTTTTTCATCAATTCTGTCTCATTTAGTTCTGTGTTGACTCTATGTAAGTGTTAATTCCATTAAGCATATTTAGTATTTTTATTATTTATTGTGGTGCCTAAGGAACAATCAGAAGGGGAATCCTTTTTTGTTTGGTGCTGTACAGAGTAGCTTATAAAGATTTGTTTGTGAAATCAGTGTGTTGTATCTGAACTTTTGAGACTGTATTTGAAAGACTAAGAATTAAAACTGTGCGTTTTGGTATTGATGTTAACTTAAAAATACAGAATGGATATTTCAATGCCAAATTTTTATCATAAAGTAAGATTATCATATAAGGAAAGAAGCTCGAGTCTGAAGAAATGGCTTTGATAGGAATTTAAAAAATACTTTTCTTTAGTGAATATAAGGGTGCTCATACTGTGCTCCATAACTTTTGATTTATTGTCCTTGCTAAGTATTCTCTTACTAATTCTTGTTTGTGAAAAATGTTGTTTCCTGCATTTTGAAGTAGTAATACAAATTTCTCTTAGCTCTCAAAAGCCATCCCCTTCGAGGGGAAAAAAAGGGAGATGGGGACCATGCTTGCATAAACGGAGATATAGAAGTCAGAAAAAGTTGTCGGTCCAGGAAAAACAGATTTGAAACTTTGAATCAGAGTTTATTGTTTGATCAGCTAGTAAACAGGTATGTGGGGATGCTTCAGTTGTATTCACAAAATATCTTAAGAATTTTATAAAAAAATTAGAAAACCCTGTCTTCCAGTGCCATCTGTGTGTTTGACTGTGGGAGTTTATTAGCATTGAGGCAAACTAGGTTGTGGTTTGAGTTACAGGCTGGGTCCTGTGCTGTGACTGCCTATGTTATCCATGCTCTAAATGCAAAGCAGCTTACCAGACTTTCACTGAGGAGTAAGCTACTCTGTGTTTACACCTGGCTAAAACCCTGTACGTTGGTGGTTATTGCAGAGTGGCTGACGTGCTGTAAATCCACACCCTAGTTTGTTTCTTAGTAACCTGTTTATGTAGTGATACCCTAATTGTGATGTAAATTGTTGATTAGCAACAGTGCTTGGAAGCTTTCTAGATTTTACTTGTATGATTTTGATCATGAAATATCAAAAGTTTGTAGCTTTGTTTTTTTTATTGTTGTTTTTGCTTTTTACCATTTGTTAGTAATTCACATAGGGTGGGTGTCACTTTTTGACATTTACTGTGCAGACAAAGTAGGTCAGAGAGGGAGACACGGTCTGGTCTGAGCATAGGAATGGGAGCCAGAAATACTTTTCTTAAAATATTATTTCTATTTGGCCTTGGGCAGGTCACTTAATGTGTCTCAATTTTCCCACCTGTAAAATGGGTTTTAATAGTCACATCTGTGGGAGACTGTTTGCTCTAGTGCTTGGAAGATGATTGAAACATAAGCATTTAATTGCCAAATATGATCTCTATTGTTAAATGTATTCTGTCGAGTCTTTTACTAATTTATTTTTCTTTTTTCAATTTACTCAGTAACTACTTGGTATCAGTTTACAAATTTATATTGAGTTACATTTATTTTTCTAGTTGCAGTTGAATCTCCCTCTCCTCATCAACAGTAGGAAAAAGTCTACCATGAAGATTGTAATTTGATAAGATCATGGTACTGAAGTCTATATATGAACTTATACTGATAACAGTGTGTCCCATGATCACTGAAGTTTTTTAAGAACAGGTTAGGCAAATGTGTCAGGAATTATTTAGGTATTGTGTCGTTTGTTCTTGCCTGGCAGAGCAGGTGGACTTTTTCAGGTCCCCTCTAACCCTGTTTTATTTGTTAGAAAACTATAGCATGATTTTACTTGAAGTAGTTCTGTTACACATCACAGATATTTAGAAGAACTGTTTAAAACTGAGAAGGGTGTTCCTAATGAAATCTTGACTTTACTGACTTCTGTCATCAGAACTTCCATTGACTTCTTTCTAGGCAGGATTTCACCCTTTAGTTTTACTTTTAAACAGCTTGAAAGAAGGGAAGTGAAAGTTTCTGCCTTCTTACAATTACTATATGAATACAGTAGAATTCCAGGGGAAATCTTCCATAATGACCATAAAGAGCAGTAACTGGGTGTTCAGGACAGGTGGCCAAATAATCAGCTTGGCCTGGCTCATTAATACTGTGTCGTTTTCTTCCTTAGCAATGTAGCATCTTGGCCACGGTTGTTATTTATATACCAATATTGTTTTGATAACTCTTTACAAATACTTAATATAATGAAAGTGTAGACTAATTAAATAGTAGATGAGAAATGTTTGAGTAGTGAGATCAAATAATGAATGATGAAATTCTAGGTTTTACTGATTTAGCATAAAAAACCCCCCTTTATGTATTAGTGTCTTTCTGAGGTCACAGTAAGAAGCTGTAAAGCTTATTGAGTGGAGGCATTAATTGCTTTCCCAATATTATAATTATGTAGGCAAAAAAGCTTTACTTCCTTATTGTGCAAACTTAATGTGACACCTCATCTAACATCTAAGCAGTTACAAATCTATATGCTACAATTTACACAGAGCAAAAAACTAGTTTAAAATATTTTTTAAAATGCTACAGCTTAAATTTGAACCTTGAATTTTAACAGCATCAGCATTCCTTCTTTTGCATACTCCTGAGTTTATATTCTGTAGGTTCATCTTCCAGTTTTCTTTGTTCTGATTAGTTTTGTAGTTAACTGATAGATTCAAGTAGCTGTCCTGAAACTTTCAGATTTTAATTCATTTCTATATTTTGTTCGCTTGTAGACCTTGGAATAGCATAACAGACCATAGAATCACATATGTTAAGTTGTTGGATGCTATGTAAAAAGTTCTGCATGTCTTTGATTTTAAAACTATTTTTTTTTTGGGTTAACTGTTGCATGTGTTTTAGTACTGCTGAAGCTGTCCTACAGGAAATGGATAATATTAACATCAGGAGAAATAGGCGGTCTGGGGAAGTAGAACGGCTACGAATGTGGACAGATACAGAATTTGTAAGTGCACAGTGTCTCAGATCTTGGATAAAAGTAATGTCAGGGGGGAGTGTGTTTGTTTTTTGCAGTCTCCATACATTTGTCTGTAGCTCTGTCGAAAGTTTCAGATCCTCTTCAGTGGATAACATTAAAAAACTTGATAAACTAAAATTCAGAACAAAATTAATGGATATATACTAGATCATGTTTTCTTTATTGATGAATTGGTTGTCATGCTGTCATGAGGTACTGTGATAGTTCTCCTTTGGTTTGAAGCATCCTCTGGTAGTCTGAAAACAGGACCAGGGACTGTCATCTGCTTTGTTCCCCAGAACAACTTGATATTGATGTTAACTATGTGTTAGGTGGACTAGGTACTGAGAGTCTTATTTTATCACCTATTAAAATAAGACTACTTTCCTAGTCTGTGTGTGGTGAGTTCTGTTGAAAAAATATTTGGAGGCTAGAAATTGTGTGAAGTGTTACTGAACTGTGGGCTAACATTGTGAGTGACATGGGACGATATTGTATGTGAATTTTATTCCAGGAAAACATGGATATGTATTCTCGAGTGAAAAGAAGAAGGAAATCCTTGAGGAGAAATAGCTATGGGATTCAGAACCACCATGAAGTGTCCACAGAAGGTGAAGAAGAAGGTATGGATTGTAAAGAATTGTAAGGATTTGTCTGAAATACTTCTAAAACAAAGCTCTCCTAAACATAAGATAACAATATATTGCACTACAGAAAGTAATTTGGTTTTGGATCTGGATTTGGAGTTATTAAATAGACCAATTATCAAGACTGTTGCAAATAAGTACACACTGAAGGATTCTTCCTCTTCAGAAGGAGAAGTTCTGGGGATCTCTCCGAATAGTTTTCTTTAAACAAATGCAAGTTTATCTGAAAGTAGCAGTACAAACTGGTTTCTAAATGTTTATATAGTACGTTCCCTTACTCTTGTTTTCTGTTAACACTAAGTAATTGGAGCTTTCCTTACATGCCTTTTAACAGTCCTCTGGTGGAAGCCAGGATGTAATGCATGTAATCTCCAACTACACATGTTCTAACTGACTTGCTCTTTCTCATATGCTGGATGGCATTTACCAGAAGGAACATATAATAGTCAGTTCTGCATCATTCCTTTGGGGAAAGCTTTAATTAAAGTCTCTGTTTTCTATCCATTCACTGAATTTTGGAAGGCTTGTAGACACACAGCTGTATTTGAAATTCTACCTTCCTTGATGAATTTGGATGAAACTGGCCAGTGGCTTCAAAGAGTATTGAGAAAGAAGGGATTATGGCCAACTTTGTCATGATCAACAGCATTCTTGGCTTCATTAAGAAATCAGACTCAGACTTCAGGGATCCATACAGGGTTCAGCATAGTGTGCCTTGGTTTTGAACTAAAACTGCTGTAAGAGGTATGGTCTGTCCCAGTTAGTAAGAAAGCAGTCTTAATTTTGAGATCTAGGGATGGAAATACTGATCCTGTTAATAGATGGACCTAGGTGGTGCCTTTATGCAGTGCGTTTGTTGGCTTTGTTTAAAAATGATACTGTGAATCATAAAATTGTACTTATTTTAATGCTGTGTCAAATGTTTGAATTTCTGAGGCTCCTGTAGGAAAAGAGAAGAAAGGCCTTCTTAATTTGAAGGATAATTATTGAAGGAAAAAGTGGCCAGAAATGGTATTTGAAGTACTTTACAGCCAAAACTAATTTGACTACATTTATTTTTCTTTCTGTTGATTTTCCAGAACCTTCTGTGGGAAACTAGAAGGGAGTTTGACAGTGTGCTGTAGATTTATCTTGGTCTTCAGATTTCCAGTGATTTGCAATTAGTGTTAATTAATAGGAGGGGAATAATTCTAAGTGACCCTTAAAATGTTAATTTTTAGAATGGAGATATCTCTGGCATCAAGTTCAAGTGTTCTAAAAATATTTTTCTTCCCCAACAGAGTCTCAGGAAGAAGATGGGGATATAGAAGCAGAAGAAGCCGAGGGAGAAGAAAACGATCGGCCATATAATCTCAGACAGAGAAAAACTGTTGAAAGATACCAGGCCCCTCCAATAGGTGAGGAACTGGACAGTGCTCCTGCAGTTCTGCTCTACTGACCTCCAAGAATACCATGGGTGTGGGAGGTGAAAAGGTAGATGACTACTCCTCATCCCTGACAGAGTTCCCGTGCAACATTAGAGACTTCAGTCTTGCCTCTGTTTTTGTTCACCATATGAACAAGACTACTGAGACACAATCTCTCAATTTCTCAGTGGTGGTGGCATCACAAGTGCATGCTGCCTCACTGAACTTTGCAAGTACTGCAGTGTGCTGGGCTCAGAGTTGGAGGTGAACAGGGTTTAGGTCAAGAAATGACAGTAAGTCGAGTTCAGAAAGCAATTAATAAATTAGTTAATTACATATTAAAAAAAATAGTTACTGTTATATCTGCTTCTCTTCTCGAGTGGTAAGCCTAACTCGTAACTCTAGATCAACTGCGTAGCAGCAGTTACCACATCTTGCCTAGATGAGAAATTTAGAATTGAATACTTCAGCTGGAAGGGACTTGCAGTGATCATCTAGTCCAACTGCCTGACCACTTCAGGCCAGTTAAAAAAAGTTAAAGCATCTTATTAAGGGGATTGTCCAAATGCCTCTTAAGCACTGACAGGCTTAGGGCATCTTCCACCTCTCTAGGAAGCCTGTTCCAGTGTTTGACCACTCTCTTGGTAAAGAAATGTCTCCTAATGTCAAGTTTGGATTTCTCCTGGTGCAGCTTTGAACCTTTCCCACACATCCTATCACTGGATGACAGGGAGAAGAGCTCAGTACCTCCATCTCCACATCCCCTCCTCAGGAAGCTCTAGAGAGGGATGACATCGCCCCTCAGCCACCTTTTCTCTAAACTAGACAAACCCAGTGTACTCAGCTGCTCCTCACAGGACATGCCTTCGGTGATCCATAAAGGTTTCAGTGTAGTGTCTCTTGATTTTGAACCTAGTAATACTTCTGTTTGAAGTAATGTACTCTGTGTATATTTGGTTTAGGTTACAATGGTGTATGCGTTGTGCTTTATCTTAAGGCAACCTGGAAATTAAGACTGTGACAGAGAAATGCTGTGGTTTATCTTTTAAGAGAAGTTTCAAGGTATCTCTTATTATCAGCTACGCAGAGGTTTCTGTGTGGAGTTTCATGTCCTGCAAATAAACTAAAAGTGCTGATGCCCTGGATGTGCCATGGTAGCCATAGCTGTGGTGGTTTGATGAGGCTGAGGGTGAAATTCCCATGACTGTATGAAGCCAAGTATGGTGATAGTGAAATAAAGTGTAAGAGATTTGATTTAGCTCTACTCCCCCAGTTCTTTTCTTAATTTGAGCTTGTGGAGAACCCAGTGATAACATTATTGGTAAAGCAATAATCCAGCACTTTTGAGCAGCATTTAGATTAGTTTATTATTCTTTTGTCATTGATATTGCAAACCTGTAACTTCTTTTACTCAGTGCCAGCTCATCAAAAAAAGAGGGAAAATACACTGTTTGATATTCACAGATCTCCTGCAAGAAGAAGCCATATCAGGTAAGTGTCAGTCTTTTTGGTATGTAGTTGTTTGCTTTCCCTCAGTACACTTCTGTTAGCTTTTGATTTTCAAAACATTCTTGAGTGAGTTGTACAGCTCATTCATGCATGTACCTGGGTCTTGAATTGTATCTTAGATTCAGATCCTGATCAGCATATAAACATGAATTTCATAGCACTTCATAATTCCAGTAGAAGCTTTGTGATAAACAGAATGGAAATGGGTGTGCTGAAAGTACTGGAAGGAGAGTTACACATTGCACGCTGTAGCTTTTTCTGTAAGGGTGTATATTTAATGTTTAAATCCAAAGCAGCAGTTTAACAAATATCCCCTTTTTATTCTAAAAAATAAACGAATCAGGGCAGTGTTTTTTGTTCTCTTCCAGTTCAAATTTCATCCAAGTAATATTAACAATTTAATAAAATATTTGCCAAGCATCATTTTTGACTCTTCTCTTTTGTGTTAAAGTCTGGAATACTCCAGCTTGTCAGGGAAACTGTTAGTGGGTTTTATTTAACAAAACAGATGAGGTCAGAGCTTAGTAATTTTTCTAAAAAATAGAGGTACTCAGAACTTCAAAGATATATCTGCCCATGAACAGAATCCAAGTAAATGAATGATAGTCTCTGCTGAAACTCGTCTTACTGCTCAATTTAATGGCATAGTGAAAATATGAAAAGTAAATAAAATAATAGCAGAATCTTATGATTCTACGTGTTTCTTTGTAATATAAATGAAAACATTTAATTTTGAAGAGCTTGTTGGGAAATCTCAGGACTTGTACTTGCTAGTAAGGTACAAAGAGTGTGAAAACTATCACCCCTTCAGTTTTAACATGCTTCTTGCTCCGCTCTTATTTTATCCCTTCTTGTCAGGACACTGTCATAAAAATTCTTCCTAATTGCATGATATTCCCTTTGATATGTCTTCAAATGTATCTAATTTTTGGTCATTGAACATTAAAACTGACTGACCATGTTATCCTTTGGCAAGAAATGTCTAGTCAGTGCAGTATCACGTTGATACAAATGGTTCAGCTCACTGTATTCACTAAAAGTACATGAGTTTTTACTAGTAGTCAACTTTTTCCTGCAAAAAAAAGTGCCAGCTTTTTTCACATATATCAAACTGAATACCTTTTTATACAGAAGATGTAATGTATATTCTCTAATATTTCTGAAATACTTGGTTTTCTGAAATACTGTCGTACTAAAATAAGAAATGGTTCTTGCAGACTTTTAATAGTAATTTTACTTAGATCAGAAGTTAAACTACAGTGCAGGTATTATGTGAAACTGTTCTGCTCTTCAGAATTAATGACCTCATAAAAAGAGATTATATGCTTTAGGAAGTATGGAATTTTTTCAAAGAAAATTTAAAGGGAAGCATCAAACTGAGTAAGTTCTTGATATTTCTGTTATGTTAGAGGTGGCTAAAGTGGTTGGAAGCTTTCTGAAGTACAGTGGCTGTCTAATGAACTTCAACAGCTTATTGATTAAATAATCACTCTTGCATCAACTGGACCACAGATCTTACAGGGACCTATTGTTTTAGTAATACTCATGTTGAAATTGGATATGTGACAGTAAAAGATGTTCCCCTTCCAAATTGATACTTAATAAAACTAAAATTTGCATGTATCTTAAATCTGAACAGTTTTGTACTTGCCATTTCAATTTTCTTTTTATAAAAGAATCAAAACATGCCATTCTACTGCAAAAAGGACTGAGTTTTGTTTTTATTTTGCTATTTCAATAGGAGAAAGAAGCATGCCATTCACAGCAGTGATACAACCTCTTCAGATGAAGAACGTTTTGAAAGAAGAAAATCTAAAAGCATGGCCAGAGCAAGAAATAGGTATCAAAACATCTTTGGTCTTTAGGAGGGTTTGATTGTTATTAAATCAGCTGAAAACAAGCAGAACTATTCTATAATGTTCTAGCTGTTCTGCAGACTTTTTTGATTCTGCCTGTGGTTACCTGCAGACACAGTGTAGGAGGATTACTGGTTACATATTAACATAGATTTTGAATCTTATGAGTAGGTAATTAACAATAGTGATGGAAAGATAGGAATATTTGGTTCAGTTGGGTTGTAAGACAAACAACTTCTTTTTGTTAAAATGGATTTTTTTTCTTGGTGTTACTCGGTCCCACTTGGTTCAGTTGTGCTCCCAGTACTAGCTCTTATTCTTCTCTTTTCCTGTTGTGTAATGCTATGTGCATTCTACACACCCAACACACATTTTTTGACCTTACATTTATTCACCAATTATCTAAAAGTGGAATATCTGTAAGGTATATCAGTAAAATTTACTTACTGCCACGGGTACATTAGTTGGAAAACTGAACAGAAAAAAAAAGTGTTTCCTCATCTTTCTTTTTTCCATCTCTTCTTGTCTGCCACACTGTTCCTTTTTGCAACCTGAGGAATTCCAACGATGTACAACTGCCAAAAGTGTAGTTGGAAGTGTAACCTGTATCTTACTGGTACTTCTCTTCCTCCCTTCATCTGTGTATTTGACCTGACGCAATATCTGCGTAAGGGCTTAAAGCTTCTTTGTGTACACTAAGAAGCTGGAACAGGTAGATGTGAGTTATGACTGATCTGCAGGAAATATTTTTATTTCCTTTCTTTGGACTTTAATTAACTAATTTTTTTAAAATTTGTTTTCCTTGTACTGTTAATCCTTTTCTTACCATACTGAACTTAAGCAGTTGATCACTGACACTGGAGAGTGTCCTGTTCTTTTGGTGAACGTTGTTTCTTCTGTGTTTAATAAAAATGTTCTGTCCAGCCTAGTTCTCCAGTTTGAAATACCTGTATGGAAGCATAAAGCTATATTTAAGGAACTTCCAGATATACAAGAAAAATTACATTTAAGAAACTTCCAGATATACAAGAAAAATTACCACAATAAAAAGGTTAGGTTTGATGACCTTATCAATCCAGAAAGGTGGTCTCTTTAGGTAGTAGAAGGTGTTTAATCTCTTGCTTCTTCACATTCCAGGAAAATGATCAAAACAGAACAATATTTATTTGGTGTTTTTTTGCTGTTGAACAGGTGCCTGCCATTAAACTTTAGAGCAGAAGACTTGGCTAGTGGAATCCTGCGAGAACGTGTGAAAGTTGGAGCAAGTTTGGCTGACGTTGACCCCATGATTGTTGATAAATCGGTAGGTTTTGTTAAAACTTTCTATTTTCCTTCTCCCAATTATGCATAAGCAGAATTCACCACAGCCTCTCATTACAGTTGAAATAAATTCATAATAAGCTCACTGATCTTTTTTGTTTTTTTTCCAAAGCTGTTGTCTATTTATTCCTTTGGGCTACAAAGCACTTGCTTTTGGCCTGTAGGTAGTCAACAGGCTGCATCCATATTGTAAAGAAGCCAAAATATCAATTGCCTAACTATATTTCTTTGTTTACAGTCAGTTTGTGATTATATTTAGTAGAAACTGGGATATGTTGAGCAGCACAGAAAACGGAACTGACCACCCAGGTTGGTTAACTCGGTGCTGGCTGTGTGGGTCCTGTGGCCTGTGCAGAAACGATGATGCACATTAGCTTTTGGTGTCTGTAGTGCAGAAACTGCTGAATTATTACTAGGGCTGAAGCATTGTCTAGAAGTACTTTGACTATATTTTTGTTATGCTGTGCCTGAGCTTAAAAATGCTCTCAGACTTAGGCTGGATCTCTGTCGGTGTCCAGGCTTCCCTGGCACAGTTAACTTGCAAACGAGATAAACCTCACGTGGGCAACCACGAGTTGACTCTCTCAAGTTGTTTACACTTCTAAAATTCAAGGAACTCCTGCTGATGAATGCAATGTTGTTTGTAATTTGTTTTCAAATATGTTATTTTATAAGTAAAGGTAATTTTGTGGAAAGCTGGTAAAATACATGCTTTGTTTTGTTTGTTTTTTTTTCTAAGGTGCGTTTTGATAGTATAGGGGGATTGAGTCATCATATCCTTGCACTTAAGGAAATGGTAGTGTTTCCTCTTCTCTATCCAGAAATATTTGAAAAGTTTAAAATTCAGCCACCAAGGTAGGTGTATTTACTCTTATTGTTATATTTTTATTTTATTAAGTTTTGAAGAATGCTTTACTTGAAAACACATAGGAGATTGATTCTTTCCCTGAAGTGTTTACCGTTCAGATAGACTTACCTGTTTGCTACCCCACTTGTCTATCGGAATGTAATAAATGGGATGATGAGTTACAAAAATCTAGTTTATTTTTCTTGTGGTAGGAAGGTAAACTGTGTTTTTGGTCACAGAAAGAATTTTCAAGTATTCTAATGAGTAGCTCCTTGCTTTTGTTTCCATTATGTTATCAATTTTACTAAATCAAGCTAAATGCTGGTGTTTCTTTTATAGAAGTAATCTCAGTAATGTCATATTACTATTTTAATATTTATTAATCAGACATCTGGGTGTGTGGTTTAAATGGATATACAATAATTAAGTAAATTGAAAATTTGGGGATATTTTTGTCACTTGAAGTATGTCTCTACAAAGAAGCAGCAAAAACTGACTCTAAGATCTAAAATTTGAGGAGGTTTTTTTACTAGTGGAAAGCAATCCTTTGGGAGCTTAGTATGCCTTTCATTAATGTTCTCTACAAAGCAAAGATTTACTAACTTGAAAGCATAAAACAAACAGCTTTTATGAAATCATGTTGAATACACTAAATAGTAATACTAGAACTTTAAGTCTTTCTTCTCCAGGCTCCCTGTCTTCATTATAAAATTTGACTTGGAGTTTTTCAGGAGACGTAAAATAAGTTTGTGACTGTGTTGATCCATTTATCTTCAGGGGCTGTTTATTCTATGGTCCTCCTGGAACAGGTAAAACCTTGGTAGCTAGAGCTCTAGCTAATGAATGCAGTCAAGGAGAGAAAAAGGTGGCTTTCTTTATGAGGAAAGGAGCAGACTGTCTCAGTAAGTGGGTTGGTGAATCTGAACGTCAGCTTCGACTCCTTTTTGATCAGGTTAGAAGAAAATACATATTTTTCATATAATTTCTTTGTAATTTTTTTTTGTGTGTGTTCTAGGCAGCCCAAATAAATTGCAATTGAAATGCACTTAACTGTAAGTTTCATAGATTGGGCAGATTTTGTCCAAGTTACATTTTTAGATGAAGAAATAAAGGAATGCTGAGAACAGTTTTTCTTGCTCTGAAAACTTAGAGGAAGTCTCTCGACTTGTCCATTAATGAAGTAGACAAAGTAGTTTGAGTAAAAATTGATAAAAACATTTAAATTGGCAAGTTTGAGTTTGGCTGGCATGTTCAAGATAAGTGCTATGTAGGGGAGGATGCAGGATTGCATCTGCTGTGGATATATTTTAGTATCCTTATTTGGCTTTGAAAATGATGGACAGAAGAGAGCGTCACATAAAGCAGTGAAATGTGGTTGCTCAAACAAAAGCTGTTTTCAGACAGAGATGTCTAAACAAACAGGTTGTGAGCAGATAAGATAATGTTTTCTGTAACTGTGTGTGAGGTGTCTCAGTTTGTCTTGAATCTCTCAGAGAAACAGGAAAACTGATACACTGGTGCCATCTTGCTTATTCAAAGGAGAATGCAATCGTTTTTGCTTTGAAACAATACTGTAGCTGAAAATTCAGTTTTGTATTCAGTGTGTACACTTTAACAAAGATGTCTCAGTATATGTGTTAGTTTAGCATGTTAATACTTTGCAATAAAAACAAACTGTTTTCTGTGTTGATGGATAAATTATGACTGAACTGTGAATTGAAATTGTTTTTTTGCATACCAGGCATACTTGATGAGACCCTCTATAATATTTTTTGATGAAATAGATGGCTTGGCTCCAGTTCGTTCTAGTCGACAAGATCAGATTCACAGGTAATATTTCTCATACGCTGGCATTATCTTGGTATATGCTGTGTTATCTTGCTAAACTCTTAAGTATAATTTTACCCAGTTCCCAATAAAGTTTTTTCCTTAAGCCCACTTAGACTAGAAATGACAGATTGTTGAGTTTTTTTGTTGTCAAAAGTAATCTTCTCAGTTCTTCAGACAGACTGTAATGTGCTGGGAATTGAGTTGTACTGGAGATTACCCTTCAGCCACATTAACTTCAAGATTTCCACAGCCTTCCCTTTGGTTGCTGGTTCTGTACTGTAAACAGATGGTCTGTTACCAGCCTAATAGTTTAAAAATGTTTTATTCTTAAATGAAGAATTGTAATGTTCTATGAAGGAACTGGATAGCCCTATCCTTTTAATTCTGGATGGAGTGATATGCAAACTTATCTTAGCAGTTGCTCTTGTGTCATTTTTTAAAAACATTTTTTTTACAACAGTTTACTGCTGGCTGCAATTTTTCCTGGCTGCCTTCAGTCGCAGTTTTGCTGCACTTTTTATGCCAATGCACTTGTCTTTCATTTTATAGGTGGTGGCTTTTGTGTGTGTCTCTTCCTCCACTCAAGTGAGGAGGGCAGGAAGGAAATTTTGGGGCCAGCAGACTAGGAGGTTATGGGAACATTTGGCTTTGTCTTGGTGCACCTTTTTTCTGCCTGGTGCTGCAGTTGCTCTAAGTAGGAGGATGCAGATACTGAGAATGGAGCAGAACTTTTCAGAGCTGCAGTAAATGGCTTCCTGAGCTCACATTCCCCAAAAGTTTTAAAGGGGGAAGTTTGATTTTGATGGAGTCATAATACTAAGTGTAATGCAAATTATATGAAAAGATTCCTTCCTGCTTTGACACTTGAAACAGTTATGCAACTTTTTTTTTTTAACTTAAATTTTTTTATTTGAAATTATGAATGTTGCAGTTGAAAAAATAAAAATTCTTGCAGTGCTCTCTGTACTTTTTTTTAAAAAAAACCAAAACAAAACACCCTCTCTTTTAGCTCTATAGTATCTACTCTTCTTGCTCTCATGGACGGACTGGATAATAGAGGTGAAATAGTTGTAATTGGTGCTACAAACAGACTGGATTCTATAGATCCTGCACTCAGGAGACCTGGTCGTTTTGACAGGGAATTTCTTTTCAACTTGCCCGATCAAAAGGTAAAACTTAGAAAGGAGGTTTATTAATAAACATTTCTAGTATATTAAACATTTCCATGCTTGACAGCCAAGCCTATGAAATAACCATATGCATTCTTGTAAGAATGTTGAATTTTAGGAAGACATTTTTAGTAAATCGATAGTATGCATAAAGTTGTTTGAACTTCAGATCTTATGAATGCAAATAGAAAGGTAAATTGTTTGCATTAAATTGAATTGCTTATCTAAAAATTCTAGTTTTGTATGGATTTGTGTAATGAGCCCTAACTATTGGAAGTTTTGGAAGTTATGGTAAGAAAAAATAGCTTTATTATCACGTAGGCTGCTAAGCACATACAAATTGCACATGCAAAGCGAGATATTATGATGTTGGCAAGAGGAACATTTCAGTTCCTTGTTCTAGACTTCTATAAACTCAACCATAGTATTTCATTAATTTATGCTTTAAATTTACTTTGTATATTGATAAATGTATTTGGATTCTATAGAATTGTAAAATGAAATAGTTTTGGAATTCATGTGTATGTACTGTGGTACTCAGCAACAAATTAATTAGTTATGCATTTGACAGCAGAAGCTGTTAATCATAGGTGCAGCAATTAAAAATTAAATTATAAAGTTATGCTTCCTACTAGAACATGAGTTTTGATGAGTTCATGTATAATAATGTTGATTAAACAGCAATTAAAATGTGCAGCTGGTATAGTGAAAAAATTATTACTTATGTATGAAATTGAAAAAGGAAAATCTTTATTCTTGAGAGATTTTTGAGTATTAAGTTCTCTTTTATGTCTCGGTGACATGTCAAAAACAGGTAAAATAAATTTATATTCAAATGATTAAATAATATTTTTGGCTAAAATACTATTACATGGATTTGGCTTACTAATTTTGATCTCTCTCTCTCTCTTTCTCTCTCTCCTTTTTTTTTCCCCTAAATCAGGCACGAAAGCACATTTTACAGATTCATACCAGGGATTGGAACCCCAAATTGTCAGATCCTTTCTTAGGAGAACTAGCTGAAAAATGTGTTGGTGAGTGTTACGATGTTAGTATTTTTCACTATAGATGCTTTCTCTTCTGTGTAAAACTCTGAAAGTATGTTAAATGTGTCAGGATATTTTATTATTTTTACTTTTCTAAACTTCTGTACTTTCAACAATGTTCTTTTTTTTTTTTGTAATAACAAAATATGCTTCTGTCTTACTAAAACACAAAATAAGTAGCTAGTAGTTGTTTAAAAATACAATCCTGTTTCCTTTCTGTAACATCACTGTCTATATAGGATGCATACCCTCAAAGAGAAGCAAAATGAAGTGAAAATTGGAATCTTTATGTAGATTTTCCATTAAATTAGTATGTTATAGAAGAGATAGAGACTTGGGGTTTTTCTCTGTCTACTTATGGAGGGGAAAAAAGAAATCAGTACTTGTTTTTTGTGTGTTTTGTTTTTTTCATTTTTACTGACTGGCATGCTCTCCTCTGTCAGAAATCCAAAAAACTAACCAGCCTTTCTTAAAGGTGAATTTTTTTTCTAGATTGATAGTACAGAACAACCCCAAAGTGTAGATATAGGCAGAGGGGAAAAAAGCACCACACCATGAGTACTTTCAATATACTTTTGGAGCACCCAAAGACCTGCTGTACTGAATGGAGGATGGTTGTTCAAGATAAACCTGCTGCTTAAAAGCTAATGGGAAATAAACCCAAATATTTTAATAGTGAATTTAACAGAGGAAATGACCCTAAAACACACATCACAATCTCTTCTCAACAATTTGTCATGCAAAGATACATCCTCTGTCAGTCATCTACTTGGAGAAGCGCTGAAGTTCTCAGAAAAAGGATGGTCTCAAATATCTCTGCATTGGAATCCATCATCAGAGAAATAAGAACTTTAAATTGAACATCAGTCCATTCATTCAGCTACAGTACATCCGAATTATCCTCTTCATCCACAGGGACACCTATCATCGAAGCAGCACCGTGCCGCTTTTGATGCACAAAGACCTCAACATCTTCTGGTGAGGAGAAAACTGTCCAGCAAACTCCAGTTTAAGCTTTGCCGGGTATAAGACAGCATGTGCCAAACCCATTTCATGTAAATTCTGCTTGAGTTGTGCAAAGACTTGGTGCTGCTTAGTGGGAGAGAGGGGATTAAAGGGAATAAAACCCAGTTGTTTGAAAATTCATCATATTTTTGTGTTGAGAACACAATTATGTATTTAAATTTCAGAGCATAAGGAAAGCCGTTTGTAGGTTTGATTGGAAGATGTTCTTTGTGCTCAGTAAAGCCTGTCAGCTTTGTGGAAAAGTCAGCTAACAAAAAGAAAAACCCTTTTCTGTTTCCTTTGGCTTTCCTACTGTCCAACTACGGTGCACTTGATTGTCTCCATTCTGTATCTTGGAATGTAAATATTTCCATACATCCAAGATTAAAACCTTTTGACTATTACAAGGACTTTTTAAAACATCTGAAATAAGACAGGTTTATCTTCTTCATCTTGAGATTGCTTCATCATTTCTATAAATGAAATCTGCAGCAACTAATTATTTAAACAGGCTTTGCAGATTCTTTGTGGCTGTTGCAAATCAGACTCATCAGTGCAGTTGTCACATTGATACAGTATATACTGGTCTGCTGGTTCCTCCCCTGTGAAGGTTTTCTATAAAAACAAACAAACCAAAAAAAACCAACACCTCCTGTTCCCCAAGTAAAAGCTGCCTAGACTCGACAGGCTCTTTGCACATCATGGTTTATACCTGTCTCCAGTTCAGCAAACTTGGCAACACTTAACTACAAGCACATGGATCCTAATGAAGAAAACTGCTGAAATACTACCAAAGTAAATGACTCTGGGGAAGCAGGTGTATGTGCGACTCAGAATTTTTTTAGGATCCAGGGGTATAATTATAAAGAAATTAGAAGGAAAAAGCCCCAGGACTTGCAAAAAATAGGTTATTTCCTGAGGGTTGATTTTTGTCCCAGATGTTATGGATTACATACCTTTTAGAACCCACTTCACTGGATGTGATTGCATGACTGCAGTGTATGTGAGACAAAGTGAAGCAGCTTGGGGAGAGCATGGAATTGCTCAGAAGACCACACACTGATGTCTTATTAGTACCTTCAATAAACACCAGTAATTTTGTTTTTTCTCCATAGAAGTGTGTTTCTCCATGGAGGTGGGCCCTAGCTATCCTGAACTTCATAAATCTTTTCTTATCTCTGGTGCTTACTTCATTGTTCTGAGTGATAACTTTCTGTAGGCGGAGAGACAGTTACCTGTTAACTCAGTCTTGTAGGAAACAAGACGTATTAGCAACCAAAAAAGTGTGAATTCCTCCATCTGTCATCTTGCAGATAACACTTTTTACAATGTAATATGGGTTATTTAAATAATGTTAGAATTGTAAAGAAGCAAACCATCATTCTCAAGATGTTTGGTAAAAATATTCTGTGCTTATTGTCGCAGGAGCATTTTGTGACAAAATGATATCTTGTTAGATTTGTTTTTTACTCCTTCTGATCATAGTGTAATGATGGAGGGGGAGGTTTTGGCATTGATGTTCATATTTGTCATAATTTAAAAAACAGAAAAAACTGTAAGTGTTAAGACATGGACCTGTTAGAAAGAATCCAGAGGAGGCCACGAGGGTGATCCGAGGGCTGGAGCACCTCTCCTGTGAGGACAGGCTGAGAGAGTTGGGGCTGTTCAGCCTGGAGAAGAGAAGGCTCTGGGGGAGACCTTATAGCGGCCTTCCAGTACCTGAAGGGGCTACAGGAAGCTGGGGAAGGGACTTTTTACAAGGGCAGGGAGTGACAGAACAAGGAGTAATGGCTTTAAACTGTAAGAGGGGAGATTTAGATTATATATTGGGAATAAATTCTTTCCTGTGAGGGTGGTGAGACACTGGCCCAGGTTGCCCAGAGAAGCTGTGGATGCCCCCTCCCTGGAAGTGTTCAAGGCCAGGCTGGCTGAGGCTTTGAGCAGCCTGGTCTAGTGGAAGGTGTCCCTGCTGATGGCAGGGGGGTTGGAACTGGATGATCTTTAAGGTCCCTTCCAACCCAAACCATGCTATGATTTTTCATTTCTGTCATGATGCTGAATTGTTCACTAACTTGCTTTCCCTGCAGTCTGTTTTAGGAGTTGTAGGGAGTTACATGATGTAAAATGTAAAAAGTGGTCAAGATTGTTCACCCAGTTGCTTTTTTTGTAGGTTTTTGGGGTGAATACTAGGCAGAAGAAATTTTAGAGAAGACTTAGTTTCTGCACAGTAAAAGTGGAAGAGTATGACTTGAAATTTCAGTAATGAAAGCACATTCCTTTAAAACCTACACGAAAATCTACTTGTTTGCTGTCCTGCCTTTTAAAAGTTGTACTTTGAAAATGTTTAGCAGAGCGTGGTGGTGATGGGTAGAACGAAATGGGCTACTTGACAAGAACACTTGTTTTGTGCTAAGTTAAGGTGTGCCAGTACATTTTGCCTGCCAAATTGAACATCCTTTGTGAGATGCTTCAAAAATGGAAGCAAATGCACTGAACCTTGATTTTATACTATAGTGTCAATTCAGGGAAAAAGAAACTCCAGTTATTTGCTGTTGGCATGATACATTTTATTTTGCTTTGGCAATACTTTACTTGTGTTTTTCTTCCTCTTAATCAATGTACATTTGCTTCTTAGAAATAAAAAAGCTCTTTAATGTTTCACAAGATACAGGATTTTTGCAGTTTTCCTGTCACTGAAATGGATGTACGTACAGTATGCACAAGAGAGTTCCTCAAACAGAGACACCAATTATTACTCTTCAAATGTAATTGCTCCTGAGAAATGAAAAGTAGAAATGGAGACTAATTGTGTATCTGATCACCTGAGAATTTAATTTAAAAAATAGGCTACAGGCTATTATTTCCTAATTTTGCAATTCTTTGGAGATGTACAAGCGGTGATTAAAATGACTGTTAGAAACTGATATTACAGCATTTATTAATAGAAAAATTGGAAAGGATATAGCTCCTGAGCTGCTGAATCTTTTGTCGTGAAGATTCTAAACTAGTTTTTAAGGTGACAGGCATTCAGGGTGCTATATATCTCTTGTACCCCTTCGGTTTAGTGCCCCCCCCACCTCTCCCACCCCACCCCATCCCCATCTTTTAATTTAATCCAGTATACTTGTTAGATGAGAAGTGAACCAATTTAAATGGGAATGTGATGCCTGATATTGAAAGAACAAAGCAGAATTTAGAGGAAAAACCTGGGTTTTGATTTCTCTGATGCTCCTGTAGCTACTCTCTAACAGGTTCCCATGGTTGATGGAATGTGCCTGCATGGTTTTGATTTCATGATGGGAGTTAGTTCAAACAAACAAACCAACCTTAGTACTGAAAATAATTAGTTGCCTATTGATTATTTAAAATGTCACGTGTATTTATTTCAAGGTGACTTGTGAATGTGAATTGTATCTTCTAACCTTTTTATAAAAACAGAAAGCTTAGTTTTAAAGTTGTAGAAGGAATCTGATATTTATGGTGATCTTCCATCTGGGATTTTTTTTGCTTTTTAAAGATTATTTTCAAGTATGTATGAGAAACACAGGTAGAATTTTGAAATCTCAGCCAATTTAAGTCATCTTTATAGCTGAAAAGTTGGCTTCTTTTATTATTATCCCCCAAATTAATGTATTTGAAAGATGGGGATGGAAAATTGTTTATTGACCATGTTAATTGCTTCCTTTTTTATTTTTCAACACTGTGTCTGGAATCAGCTTTGAAAAATATGTGTGGCAGCGGCACTGAAAAAAACATCAGAGGATAGGGAGAAACAAGACAGGCTTCAGTTTTGGGACTTGGTGCTGCCAAAAGACCAATACAAAAACTGAGTAGAAAAGGTTCAAATGGTGTAAGACCTGGCGGGGCGGAGGAAATCTGGTTAAAAAAATGTTGATCAAGAATAATTTAAGTAAAGAATTGATTCATTAGTGTCTAACACTTTGTTGCAAACCTGTGAAATTTTATGTGGTGGAACACGTTTTTCTGTATTGACTCTAATTTTCTAAAAGAGTTTTCCCACTGGAATAATATTTTACATTTTTTTGAAAGATGTAGCCATGGTGCTACAAAATACAGTGGCATATTAATGTCTCTGGCTGAGAGATACGGAAAAATTAGAAATCTAGTTTCTAGCTCTGGGGAAAAATCCCAAACCATTAGTACTGCATGAGACACGGGGGTATTAAGTCTCAGTATTTCATAATTATCAGATCTGTATTTTTCAATAATGATGATTAAGCAATTATAGGTAGCCACCTGTAGGTACTTAGAAGCTAGGCTGAACTAAAATACTAATGCTGTTTAATAGCTTTTCTACTCTTTTGGTTATATTAGTAAAATTATGAAACTCTGAAAAGTCTGAAGCATTTTTTTTAATAGTAAAAGTTCATGTTTTTCCAAGAGTCCGCAGTATGCTTTTTTTAACAAGAGATTTAATCTCTTCCATATTCTACTCACGAAACATTTTTCTTTATACTGCTCATTTTCTCAGTCTGCAAAAGTTTTAAAGTTGGTAATATTCATCCTGTATAACAAATTACTTTGCTATTAAAAATATATATTAATGTAGAGATATTAAAGTAAAAAAGGAGAGGGGATTCCCTGTTAAAATTACACACATACTTTAGAGAATATTAAGGAAGAAGAAAGAGCGGTGACAGACCTGTAACCCTGAGCTGAAAATACACTATATATTGCACTATAGAGTGAAAATATTAGTCATTTGAACCTCAATGTGGAATTAATTTCTTACTGTATTTCAACATACCTGCACATAATTTCTTGGTACACAACACTGTCACTGGATTATGACCTGATACCTTTTGGCAGATGTTTTCAGGACCTCGACAGTTAAGTACTACTGATGGTTTTTAGCTTTAGGCACGTTTGCAATAGACGTAGCACAGCAGTGCTATTTCATGGAAGATATTTTTGTTTTTGTGTGCACTAGGGTACTGTGGAGCTGACATAAAAGCACTTTGCACTGAGGCTGCCTTGATTGCCCTGAGACGACGCTATCCCCAGATTTATGTGAGCAGTCAGAAACTACAGCTTGATGTTTCTTCAGTAGTTCTCAGCGCGCAGGATTTTTATCATGCAATGCAGAATATTGTGCCTGCTTCCCAACGTGCCATGACATCTTCAGGACATGCGTTATCTCCTGTGATCAGACCACTGTTGGAACGAACCTTCCATAACCTTCTTGAGGTTTTACACAAAGTGTTTCCTCATGCTGAATTTAGCCAGGGTGACAAAAGCGAAGGTATGTAGGTTGGAAGTGTGTGGTGTTTGGTGGCTTTTTTTTGGTGTGGTTTTTGTTTGTTTGGTTTGGTTTGGTTTTTGCAAATGCTCTTTCAATTTGGAAATATTTCACCTGGCTTTCCTGTATTGCTAACCTTAAGCCTGATATGTATTTGGTTCAGTGTTATGTTAGAATTTAAATACAGGTTGTGTGGATGTTGCTTAACCATTTTTGCTGATTTCAAGTTGCTGTGGAATTTAATAACCTGACTTATGTAGACCAGGATCCCGTAGGTGTGAGTGTCATCTGAAAAAAAGAAAAACCCTCAAGTAATTAGTAATTAGTGGCCTTCCAACACCTGAAGGGGCTACAGGAAGGCTGGGGAGGGACTTTGGACAAGGGCAGAGAGTGACAGAGCGAGAGGCAATGGCTTTAAACTGGAAGAGGGTAGATATTAGATGAGATATTAGGAATAAATTATTTCCTGTGAGGATGGTCAGACACTGGCCCAGGTTGCCCAGAGAAGCTGTGGATGCTCCTCCCTGGAAGTGTTCAAGGCCAGGCTGGATGAGGCTTTGAGCAACCTGATCTAGTGGAAGGTGTCCCTGCTGATGGCAGGGGGATTGGAACTGGATGATCTTTAAGGTCCCTTCCAACCCAATCGATTCCATGATTCTATGATTAATTTACATTTTACATTCAAGAAATAATGGGACATTACCATATGGTGGAACAAAAGAAATGAGACGCTGTTGCTCAGTGTCATAGGAACTGGAAATGGTGCTCTTGTCCTGAGTCTGTTAGCTGTCCCCAACCCTTTGCTTGTTGATGATGCAGAAGCAAGCTGTAAGGAAATGCTGTGGGGAGCTTGCAGCTCAGCAGGTGAGACTGTGGTTAGCCAAGATACCTGAGCCTGTGTAATGGTCATCTACTGGTTAATGAGAAAGTCCTGAGGCTTCCTTCCCCTTGAGCTGGCCTGATGCGTCCCTGATCCTCTGAGTTGATTCTGCTGGCTTAACAAGTGGAGAACTATTTGCTATTTTGTCAAGTTAGCTCTTTGCCAAATTAGTGAGTAAAAACAACTCAGGAAGGGGTCAGATGAATGCCAGAACCCTGCTGCAATGGGAGCAGTGTGAGTGCATTGAGGAATTGGGGAATAAGAAGGAATGAGACTGACTGTTTTGACTGGCAGTGAGTCAGTTGTTCTGGGGTTTTTTACTCAGCTGTCTCTGAGACAGACTTTAATAGTTACCCCGGTCATTTCTTGGAGGTTAAACGCTGAACAAGATATCTTGGTTTTGATACCTACTTATTCTGACATACTATTTTCTACTGTTCTTATCTGGGATTACCCTCACTGCCCTGACTATGTAAACAGTACTTGTGGTTGTATGTGTTTAACTTGAAAATAGCCCAGTCATAAAGCAAATTTGTTACAGCCCTGACTTGCTTTTCATTCCTATTCCAGAGCTTTCAGACTGCAGCCCAGGCAGCTTAAGCTGATCCTTGTGCTGGTTGCTGCAGTTTCTCCAGCCCAGCTGTGCATTTTTGCTCTATCCCTTTCACTTACTTTAATACATCAGACCCTTTGTTAAACCATTTTAGCCAGCAACCTCATCCAAAAATGATGTATTTTTGTGAGGTTAGTTTTATGCTGACTTTGGGATAGCTGGAGGTTTTAATGCATGAGCCGGCAATGTGCACTCACAGCCCAGAGGCCAATAACCGTGTCCTGGGCTGCATCCAGAGCAGCGTGGGCAGCAGGTCAAGGGAGAGGATTCTGCCCCTCTGCTCTCCTGAGACCCCACCTGCAGTGCTGTGTCCAGTTCTGGAGCCCCCAACACAGGAGAGACCTGGAGCAGCTAGAAAAAGTCCAGAGGAGGCCACCAGGGTGATCCGAGGGCTGGAGCAGCTCTGCTGTGAGGACAGGCTGAGAGAGTTGGGGCTGTTCAGCCTGGAGAAGAGAAGGCTCCAGGGAGA